CTGATGCACCGACAGTCTTAAGTTCTGCCAAAACAGATACTGGAGCCATGCAATGGGATGAGCTATGCAGAAGGGGTAAGGATACTTTTTGTGATGAGAGGTGGCTTGACTTACTGTTGTCTCTGGAGGTTGTGGGGGCTTATAAAAGATCCAGTGAGTTTACTCTAGGTGGTAACCTCCTGTTCAAAAGGGTGTGCTTGGAGGAATGACTCATGCTGTGTGAAAAAGCACTAATTTTGGGGGGACTTGAGGAGAGGTTGGAGGGGCTCCCGAAAGCTTCCTGAAATTTGCCTGAGTGACAGAGAAAACTTAACAGAAACTGGCTTAAAGATTTGAATGTAAATGATAAGCCAAATACTGTTGCACTCCATTCAAGGACTGTCCTGTTTGCTGGCTGACTTCCCCACCTCGCTGGTGGTTGGGTCACCTTTATTAGGTAGGCAGTCGCTTGACGATGGTGTCATGCGACCTCATCATCCTGGAAACTCTTAAGACCGAGGGAGAAGCACTACTGCTTTGTGTTTCTGCCAAACGGAAGGGGACTTTGAAGAGAAGATGACAGACTTCTTGGATCTCCTCTTACCTTGAGACTGTAATGAAAAGAGCAATATTGAGGAATAGCAAAGTGGCAAAATGTTGTCTTTAGTCCTTGGGGAAGAGTTTGTTTCTGCTTTTGAATTTTCCAGCAGCAGATCTAATCTCGTATGGCTTTTATTCACACCTTTCTCTCTCCTCATGGGTTTAGTCCTCCAGCTACAGATTTCTAGATGATGTTCAACTATATGTATGAGAGAGGAGGAATAAAAGTTGAAAGAGGAAAAAATTATTAAAAAAAAAAAAAATCATGAAAGAGAATAATAACATTCGGAGTCTGGGAAACAACAGAAAGTACCACTGGGGGTTCATTGAGAATACAAACAAGAAATAAGCGGTGTGAGAGAAGCAGACGCTGAGGTGGTAGTGTGGTAACAGCTGAGTTTAAGCTGTAACGAGGAAAAATCACTGAAGCAGGGAGGAGAAATACAAGAAAAAAATTGTGTATGAAAGTAATTAGTTAAGGTACTCAAATGAATTTTTTAAAATGGAGAAGGTTTTCCTTGGTTTTTCTGAGATGGCATGTGTATTTTTCAGTTGTTGGACTAGGTTTAATGCTTTTTACTGTCAATTTTCTCCTAGATCTTGGAAAACAATCAATCACGTTAACATTTCATTCGAATAGTAAGTTGCATCACCTTTATTTCTGCGATAGCCCTTTCCAAGGGGCTGGCAGATGTCTGTAGTACTTGATACTTTTTTTTGACTAGTACAACTTGGTTTTCTCATGGCTGGGTTTGTGACAGGAGCTCAGTTTATATGACTTTCAAGTAACTTGGTTTTTTTTATGGTAGTAGTGGCATGCCTGCTGATAAATGAGATTTCTGATCTGGATTTGGACTCTGCATAGTGTAGCAAAGCAAGGGAGTTTCCTGCGGCCGTCCTTCCCTTGCAGAGCAAGCATACAGTTCAGTTTTGTTCTGCCCGAGTGTAAAGGTCTGCACAGTAGCCACCCTGTGTGCGCTGGGGATGTTATACTGGTATGAGCTTTACTCCTGTTTGTAGATCTGTTACAGCCTGCCTGGTCAGCGTGGTTGGGAGTGAAGTGTGTTTTCTTGTGCCATGCTCAGCTGGGTTGTGTGATCTCTGTGAGAAAGTGCTCATCATCAGGCTTTCTATATTCCTTTTACATTAGGCTTTCATGTGTAAATAAGAACTTTACCAGTTAAATGTTGCTTTCAGAGTTTGAGACGCATGGAAATACTGTTGCCCAAATTGTAAAAAAAAAAAAAAAAAAAAAAAAAAGGCCCTGTGTTTTATTTGAAAATAAAAAAATAACACTAAAAATATTCATCCAAGCCAACAAACTAATAAAGCTTTTCTAAAGCTTCTGTGTTTTGGAAAGTAGGCTGGTGTAATAGAATAACTGCAAAATAATTATTTGCTGAAGAGACTAACGAGCTCAGTTTTTTAGAGCAGCAGTAATCCCGTGTTTAGCTTGCTGCTCCGATTGGGATTTCCTGCGCACGGTGCCTGGAATCTGCAGTTGCAGGGACTGTCTCAGCGGTGTGAAAAATGAGATATGGAGGAGTTGGATGGAGCTCTCAGGCCGCCACGTGACCTGCTGCCTCGAATAATTGCAAAATAGAAACTCATTTACTAAAGCTTGGTTTACGTCCGGGTGAAGCACTGTAGTAAACAGTTTAGATTACTGGGCAGTGACGGATACTTTTGATTCATATAATTCTTTGGGTAAATCTTGTTAAAAGAAGCTGTATACTAGAGAAGAGAGAGAAGTGGTTTTGGAGGCACCGTGAAGAGGAACTTCATGTATTTTTGGGTTTTGGTGTATTGAGAGTATTTTAGTACTTATGTGACTAAGTGGATATTTATTTTGCCTTAATGTGTATTTGATTAGGTTACATCAGCTATAAATACTGGAAGCTCCAAAGCTTCTATTTCGCTGTCTGTCTCCAATCTTGGCTTTTGAGGAACATTTAATGTCTTGTTGTGGTTACAATTAATCTGCGTGTGTTTTAGCAATTAGTGTTTATGTGCAGTAGGCAGCAACAGATTCTGGCAGCTGTCAATCAGCATCTGTAATTGGCTATGAAAAAGGATGGGAGAAAAGACAAGGTGATTTACTGCCTGCCCGGTTATTTGGCAACACTGTTTTGTTGACAAACACCCTCTCTGGCCCAAGTTATTTGCTGTGGTTTGCTGTGTAGGCGGTGAGGAGCAGGGGAATAGCAGCATTATCATGGCTTTGATTTGATAAAGCTGTCTGTTACATTGCCAGTTTAAATTTACTTTCTTCGACACCTTTTAAAAAACAGCTGTTACAAACTCTTGTAATTTCCCTTTATGCAGCAATGTTTAAAGCAAACTTCATTATTATCTAGAAAAATGTATAGACCTGTTAACCGCTTGCTCAGTAACAGATAACAAAATATGTTAAAATTCAAAGCAATTGAATGCTGCTTGGCTAAGGTTTAATAAACTGATCATATGAGATTATACAAGCAAAACACAGATAGAGGCAGGGGGAAATGGTTTGATTTAAAGAGAGCATCTGTGCTCTTTCACGTAGTTGCTGTGTTTGTAGCCCCCAGCCTTGGGGATTCCTTACATCGCTGGGGTGTAGGAGTGCTCTGCTGATGATTGGTTTTTCCCTTATTGTTTGCTTTGAGGCTTTTTGGTTTTTTAAAAAGAAGTGGAAAAAGTTAACAGCAAGAAGTACTTGGCAGTACGGTACAGCTTGATAAAGTGCATCTGAACCATTCACTGCCTGATCCTGGCTCCGCGGGCTGGACACCTTGAGCAAGTCACTGTGTCTTTCTCCAGCGGGTACCACCTGTAAAATGGAGATAAAAATAATGATCTTCCTTTAGCACTTTTCCAGGTTACAGAAGGTAGGCACTGTACCAATGTCCTTGTTAGCATTTTTTAATAAGGCTATGTAGATTGATGTCTTGCCCTGGTTTGAAACTGTTGAATGCTACAACCAAGTGTGGGTGTGCCACGCTCCTCTTCCCTCCTTGGGAGCTTTGCTGCTCTGAAACCTTCTGTACGGAAGTAAGTTTGTTGCTGTGAGGTATATGGACACCACCTGAATTCCTTGCTCTGAGAAGCACGAGGTAGATTTGTAAGTGTTCATTTCGTACGTGTAACACCACCGTTGGTATTACTGAAATAGCTGCCTCTTGCATTAAGTAGTTTCCAACCTATTTTGAACTAGGAGGCAATAAAATGTTCAGGATCTGAAAACCAGCTTCTTTTTCCATCTGATCACTCACTATCAGTGTCTTCTCTTCGGACTTTTTCCTTCTACATCTTGATAGTAGAAATGCTACAAAGGCATCGGTTTGTTGAGAAGCTTTAGCCCTGTTTGCCAGATACTCAACTGGGGTTTGAGCACATCAGCTGTGTTCTGCGGCTGCAGATTCTGGATTAGGTAATTGCAATTAGTTTTAAGCACTTTATAAATGGAGTAACACCACATTTGTAGATAATTTTTTGTTTTGTGTGAAGAGTAGAGAGAAGAGTCACTTTCGTTTACGTAAAAAATACACAAATTATTTAAGACTATAAGAGAGACAAAGTTCAGAGACACTCTTTAACTAGACCTCCCAAAACCACAAAAGTAAACGGTGTTTTGGCAGGGAGGAATTGACCTTACCATAACTTTTTCATTTTTGTTTGGGTCGACTGATGTTTTTGTTAATAGTCTGTTACATTTCTATACAGTTTCTTAGTAGCTACCTGTTGCAAGATGGCTAATCTGTGGGGGTTTGTTTGTTTGTTTGTTTTCAACTGTATCACTTTATATAAAATCTACCCTGTGATACATGCTGGGAACCACTGATTACTGTGTATTTTTCAAATAAACGACCCCAAGGAATTTATACTAATTAGCAGTCCACTATTACAGGCTGTTTGTTACTTGATTTTTCAAAACCTTCATCATGAGGAAGAAATGAAAGAAGGAAAATTTGGACTACCGGAGTTAAAGTATGGAAAAAGACAGAACTTCAGTGATTGAAAGTAATTTCAGTACTAGCAGACTATCCTGAAATCTTAATTTAAAGTAAATAAAATAAAGTTTTATCCAGTTACTGGTTGTGGGGGGGGTTGTACACATCTCTCTGCCCTGCCTTCTTAGTGCATGGTACTGAAGTTCAGACTCGTTGATGGGGCAGCAGTGAGGGGCACAGGCTGGAAGAACAGAAATCCCCCAGCTGTGAGGTGGGCATGCTTTCCATCGAGCCTCTGAATGGCCAAGTTCATCTTCAGACTTTCGGAAAAGGGGATCAAGACATGTGAAAGGTTGACAATAAGGCCAAAATAGGTCATGATAAATTCCTGATTCTCAGTTATTTGGACCCGTGTTTAGATGGGCATGCGTAGTCGGTGTGCCACATCTCAGGAATTTGTTTGCATCTCTGACAGCATCTTTTGTCACGCAGGTGCTGATGTGACAGTAACAGAGCCCAGCAGCTCTGACAGCAGAGTAGAGCGATCGGACCCCTACGCAAACGTTGACGAAGCCCTCATCGGTGGGGAAGCCAGCTACATCTCTCAGCCCCTGACTCCGGAGAAGGAGGATGCTCTCCAGGCTGCCACCGTCGCCAACCTGCGCGCGGCTCTCATGAGTAAGAACAGTTTGCTGTCTCTGAAAGCCGACATGCTGGGAGAGGATAGTTCTCTGCTGTTTGAGTACCTACCCAAAGGCACGCATTCTCTCTCTCGTAAGTTTGTGTTTTTATATTTTTTTGTTTACTGACGCTTTAAGTGAAATCTTTAGTGAGAAGAAAGTACAGGTCACTGTCTTGTTTATTACTACTGATATGTTTATATCCAGTTTTAAGTCCTGCCTAATCGCACTTTCCCTAAAATTTGGAAACCTGTGTCTGGTATTGATCCAACTTTAATGTTAACTGCTGAAGCCATGGCAGGAAGTATTTAGTGTATGCATATGTAGCACTTGTCCTCAAACTTCTCTTCTACTTGTTTGCAAAGTGGTACTTACAAACAGAATACAAAGTGTTTGAGTGCTTATGGTAAAAGAAGTAGCTGCAGAGGTTTTTGAATCCAAAATTGACTAATGTTGAAAGGCTTGACTGTTGCTCCTGTGTCTGTAGAAACTGTTGTGATTTTGTAGATCGCATGATCTCTACTTCTTGCTGTTTACTTTTAGACCTCTTTCTAAGTAATGAGCAGCTACTGATTGTTTCATTATACTCGGCATGGAAACAAATGTTTTCCTACTGGTGATCTGTTGGAGACTGCTGATGTGTATGATTATGTGCAGACAGCTTATTTTGCAGCATGCTTTTATGATTGCCATGAAGAAAGTACAAAATAGCTTGATTTTTCTAGTGCACAAAGAAAAAATATTAGTGCTGTGTTTTAATAATACTCTCAGAAGATGGGGATATCATTTGTGACATAAAATAGAGCAAGCAGTGGCTTTCTGAATACTACATGTTAGTTTCCAGCAGAAAAGGTTTATTTTAATCTATACTGTGAAAATCAACCAATTAAATAGAATGAAAAGTTCACTTAAGCTATCTATTGTTTTACTTTATTTTTACCTTCCTCAATGGCAAAAGATAGGTAACTTTTAATGGTCACTTGAGTTGTATGATAAAAGGAAATAACTGCACAACGCAATGTCAGTCTTAGTATCTCTTTTCGCTTCTCATGTTTGAATAGAAGAATTATTTTTTAAAAAATGTAAGTTTAGAGAGGAAAAAAAATTATTTTTTTTTTTACCTTATTCTGCAGCTTAAATGTTTGGGGGGAATTGCCAGTGCAATGTTCTTATTTCTTCCACAGTAGTTTGCTTACTGAATGATCTCCAGTTAAATCAGATTTAGATGGTTCAAACTAGGCTCCTGGGTTGAAAATCCCTTCGTTGCAATGAAATAGCAAAGATCCTCTGTAGCAGTTTAATCGCTGGGCTTGTGTGCAGTGAGAAGAGTGCCCTCAGCTGGCACCAGCACGGGTGGGAGTGTGGATCAATGCATGGCTGCAGGGGTGATTTATGCACCGCGTGTCTAAATCTGTGACTTGTGACAGGTGAAATCAGTGGTTTCATCTTCTGTCATGATAAATTGGAATAATGATGGGGCTTCCCTCTATCCATCATCCTTCTCTAGGTTGGGGGATTTTAGATTTTACTTGAACGCTGAAAGACCACTTGGCGTAAAGACAAATGAGCATAAGGCAGTCATAAATTTGGGCTAGAAATTAGAGATTGCCTAACCAGCTGAGAAGTGGGGTTTGGGAACAGGCATGGGTTTAAAATAAAGCTTGATAGATTTAGAAAAGGGGGTAAATCATAGCTCATTGAGGGGTACAATGACTGAGGAGGTCCTTCAGCCTGTATTTGAGGTCCCCTGTTTTCCAATCCTCTCACTATTACTTGAATTTCATTCAGCTAAGCTTCAATTATCTCATCTTTGTGGAAGCAAAGTGAATTGCCTAAGACAAAAAGAAGATGGCTCACTTGGTCTGCAGCTCTCACACCAGTAGGTGGATGTGGCTATGGCCTGGTAAGAGGATTTTTACAGAAGCAGGGAGTTAAGGGACATATTTTTCTTTCATCTTACTCAGATTCACAGGTATCGATTTATTTTAATCACTTGAAAAAGATATTCTGATATAAGACTCACTTGCTTGTTAAGTGGTCATTACTGAATACAATAGGACATCAAATTTAATGAGAATTTTCGGCGTATAAAACGACAGTAAAGCAAGTGTTAAGATTCTGGAGATCTAAAAGCATGGTCTAGGTTGGTGGTAGCTTTGTAGGTGTTTTTCACATCTTTCTTCAAACACAATTTGAGGATGTTGAGTCATTTTAAGTCCTGGGTTATATTAAAAAAAAAAAAAAGAGCTTTGTGGGGGAGTAGGCAGGAGCACAGTGAATATTATTTTTTTTTATTTTTTAAAACCAAAACCATCACAGTGTGTTGTAGTTTTCTTCTATGTGATTTGAAAAGGAACTGCACCATTTTCAAGATTTTTAAGTGATCAATCTTTCTTGAGTTTAAAAAACACACTTCACTTTTTTTAATATCAACTGCTATCACCGAATTGTCTTCGTATTCTCTTACAAAGTCATACAGTGAGTAACTGACTCCAGGAGCAGTGTTCATGTTTATTTTTCTTTTCTGGAGGAAAAGACTTAATGGAGGTGGACAGAACCAAAGAGTATATTATGCATATTTAAAATTCTGATGAGCCATTTCTAAAGGGGATATTACTCTTCAAGTTACTGCATATGTTACAAGTTTTAATTTTCTGCATAGTTCATACTGTTGTAAAAGTTAATAGAGGATACTCCAAGCTTTTCATTTTACCCCATGTTCTTTTTGTCCCAATTCATCGTAGATTGTAATGATTGTATGACGTGTGAAATTACTTAACGTTCTGCTGATGGAAAATGAAGTCCAGGATGTGGAGGGGGATGTTGTTTCACTACAATGTAGTCAAACATAGATACAGCATTTTTTAAGTTAACCAGTTTAAACTAATTTAAAATCAGAAGGGAAAATTTAACTATCTTGCCATTGGGGTAACTCAGTCACCAGATAACCTGCAGCTGAAGGGCTCTTAGAATTTATGACGTTCATGGTGCATGATCAAGATTTACGGTGTTCATATGCTTGTCAGAAACCTAAAGGACCTGTGGGTTTTGCAGGAAAAAAGTGTCAGTTATTCATGGGTAACCTTGAGGTCACCTTGGGTACCATTAGTTATTGAACCTGGGTAGTGTGGTGTTGGGGATGCCTGTCAGATAAGACAATATTAAGAGGTTCAGTTTTCCTCATCTTTATATGTTTTCGTGGTTTGTCTGTTAAAGCGGGTTATTCTTTGCCGATTTCCAGCTTCAGCAGTGCTGTTCTACTGAGCTCTTTGGTTTAATAATGTGGGATTTATTTCATTTACGATACTGAACTTTGGTAGCGTTGTTCCATACGGTTACACCACATCTACAAAAGTCTCAAAGGCTTTAGTTGAATGGTTTTAGTTGGTTTCGTCAAGTGTAATCAAGAGAATTAGAATTTTAATATTCATTAGAAAATGAGTTGGGTAGTTTACATCCTTGTTTTCTCATTTAAAAAAAAAAAAGTCAGAAAACTTTCAGATTTTGGGGTGACTGACCACCTTTAAAGGGCAACTCTTCCACATTTTCAGAATAGTACATTGCATACTTTTTTATATGTCTAAGTTTGGCTTTTCCTGTTTACCCTGTTGCAACTGAAACTGTTTATAGAAGCAATTCCTATGAAGCTCCCTGTCCAAGTGATTACATGGTACACAGAGCCCTTTTCTTTGGGGCAAACCAGCTAATATGTTATTTTTAGTTAGTGGTTCATTGGAGCCAATAATTTATACTTGCACTGGATGTTAAAGGAATACATTTTACACAGTGGTCAACTTTCCCAAGAGGGAGTTAAAGGTACTCAGTTTGGCGTGGAATTTTCGTACATGGTAAATGAATATTGAGGGGAGAACGGATGCAATTTTAAATGAGATATAATAACCTTTGCCTTTCTCTTTTCCACAATAGTTTACTGTGCAGCTGTCAGAGAATACTATATTCCTATAAATACTGCTAAACCAGTGCATCATCTTCTGTATGCAAAGCTGACTGAAGGAAAGTGCTTTTGATTTCTGATTTAGAAGTTAAAATACTTTACATTAAAATTAATTTCAATACAAATTTAGGAGGGAAAAAGTTTTCTTGCAGTACTAGTCAGAATGGCACAAAACGTAAATTCAGGTGCTGTTTGCGTTCTCACGTACAAAGTATGGGTCATTTTTGTGGATTTCTCTTCTTGTGTTACTTGCAGTTCCTGAAACCAAATAAATACTAATTACTGGTTTTAAAATCATCTTTGTACTTTGTTGTGTTGCACATCTCTGTGGCTCGTGTTGGATGATTGAGTTTATTGTTTCTCCTTACTCTATTTCATTGCTCGTTCATTAGCCTTAACTTTTGCCTTCAGAAGCGCCTAGTTTCTTAGGAACACATGTAACTCTGTAGAGGTGCTAATAAAGAATTAATCAAGCCGGCCCCCACTGGCTTATCTTTACTGTATGCTAAAATACCATTTGTTTAAGGAAGCGCAACCCAGAGAAGCCTCTAAATGGTGGATGGTCGCAGTGTGTAGCTTCAATGTAAACAGGGCGGTTTGAATCGGTTTGGGATGTTCGGGGGGGGGGAAAGGAACGTGTGGCTATCTAGGCAGGAGTTCTGCTATGGACCTGGAAAGCTGGATTCCTGGTAACACTTTGTAACAGGAAGTACTGACGAATTCACTTCCCCCTCCGTTTTTTCCTGCCTTGAATTTATAGGGTTTTAGCATTTTTGTTGTCCTGCCTTTAAATTATGCCAGCAATAGATGAGCACCACCAGAATGAAAACTTGAAGTACTGTTATTGCACTTGAATAGAGTTAACTAAGTTGTGAAAGATTTCAATCTGCGATCAAAGCAGAGGAAGGTAAATCAAACATCCAGCCTGTGGCACAAGAGCAGAATTTCCTTTGATAGCTGATAAAAAAAATTGGATTTGGGATTGTTCGCGTTTAGAAACCTTTGTGTGGTTTCACTCGAATGCTTTGTTGTGACCCAGATCACAGTGCATTGTATTTGGACATAGTATAAACTTTGACTTGTTATTTGTAGTTGCATTAAAGAGTGTGTGTTTTATATCCGTAAAGGTTTCAATCAGA